CGGATCCAGACAAATGGCTAGGGGAGTTCTTACTTTAGACAAACTATACAGTTTGGTTATTAATGTAAGCAAATGTACGAAATTGAAAAATAAAATTATCAATTTAATTTCATACTGAAGAAACTTATGCACGTAATTCAGTTTAGTGGAAACTAATTAGTAAGGAAATACTAATTATTATTAAATATTTATCAATTTCTCTAGCACCCACGTGCTCTTATGTCTCAGTAAATGGGTAACTCGTCACACTTTGTTGGAGTTTCGGTAGGTAGGTATTTTATTTACGTCGTACTGGAGCCGCACAATGAGCTATTGGCGACGGTCTAGGAAACATCAGTGAGGATGATCCAAAGACAGGCCATCGCAATTTTGATCCTCTGCAGAAGTGATGACTCCCCTGCTTTTGTTGTTGTTGTTCATTTCCTTTGCACTAGAGCTGCACAATGGGCTATTGGCGACGGTCTGGGAAACATCCCTGAGGATGATCCGAAGACATGCTATCGCAATTTTGATCCTCTGCAGAGGGGATGGCACACCCGCTTCGGTAGCCCGACGCCCTGCACGCGAAGTCGAGCACTTTACGGTAGAACAGTTTAACAAGAACCCATACCGCACACCCTCTGTCCCTACACAGGCTGATCCAAGTGGTCACCCACCCGCACACTGACCGTAGCCAGTGATGCTTGACTTCGGTGATCTGCTGGGAACCGTGTCTTGACGATCAGTCCACTACGGGACCCCCGCTTTTGTAGCCCGACGGTTGAATTTTCGAANCTGATCCAAGTGGTCACCCACCCGCACACTGACCGTAGCCAGTGATGCTTGACTTCGGTGATCTGCTGGGAACCGTGTCTTAACGATCAGTCCACTGCGGGACCCCTGCTTTTGTAGCCCGACAGTTGAATTTTCGAATTAGTTTTGAAGTAATTAAATAGAAGTAATTAAATATATTGAATCTTAAGAATGTGGGTGTTTTTCTTATGCAATCCTGGAAGTTTAACAAAGAACGCGCATTTTTTTATCTTTTGGGCGTAACGAACATCAAATAATCTCCTTTTATTTATTTAAGAAATGGGATTATTTTAATGAGGGAGCTCAATTTACGGAACATTCTATTTCTGTTCGAGGCTATTTGCCTATCACCAAACTATTTGTTATTTGGTTCGTAGAACAGCGTAAAATTATGCAGTCATCTTAGTTGCAAATTAATTTCTTTGTTTATGTTAATTTATCAAATAGTTCCTTAATTATTTTATTTAATGCCTAGAATAATTCGGTATAAAATGGCTAAATAATTCATATATGGGTGGAAAAATTAATATAAGCGACAAAATAATTTAAATTTTTTATTGAAGCAAATGATTTATGTCGTTATATTTACTTTAATCTATCAAAAATTACTGCTTTTAACCTTACGTTTTTAAATTTGACAAATAATTGTATTCTAAAAGAGTTAATATTCGGACACGTTTTCTGAACTGACTATCACATGGTTCGTTTTTCGAATAATAAATAAATGAAACTGATTAAAGTTCTTTTTTTACATGAATAAAAATATTTCGCTTTGGTATAACAGCAAATCTGTTTCCTAAACTGCTAGTAAACTTAATTTTATTATAGATTAGACTTTTAAAATTGCGTTCGTTTGTTGCTATTAAACAAATGACTATTAGTAAAGATTATAGACTATTAGTAAACAGAACAATAAAAGATAATAAATATTTACTAAAAATTATTTTTTAAGTGAAATAATTTTTTGGTAAATGAATTTTATTTGTGTGCAATTTTTTTTTTTCAATTTGCTTAAAAAGTTCTCGAGATGTAGCGAAAAAAGCAAAAAGAAAAATTGACAGTTCAAACTTTGGAGCACTCTCTTAACCAAACTATTTGGTTCATATTTCCCAGATTGCTGCTACCCTCTCTATTTTGGGGGCTAGAAGTGCGAATACGTCGAAAGAAAGTTTGTTTGTTCAGAGAAAGTACATTTTTGTGTCTGATTTCGAAAATTAAAATATCTTCTGCGCTAATTAATTAGGATATTTGAGGTCACCCGTGAAGATCCGATCATTAGATCAAAAGTTATTCAGGTTGGTCCGGGGCGCACTGTATATTGTGAAGATTGAACGCATTAAAATTGACAGCTATAAATTATAGCACACACTTATAAATATCTTAACGAATATTATTATATTATTATGCACCAACTAAGGTTAATTAGTGATGCACTAGTGTTCGAAGAGATATTATAATAAATTCAACATTTATTAAGATGGGGTTACAGTATATTCAAAAGTAATCGAGGCGCAATTGCTGTTTGACAATTTTTAAAATATTTAGAAAAAAAAGAATACTGGAATTAAAGTTATGCAAAAAATATTTTTTAAAAAGAATATGTTTACCAGTTGGATCTGCAGTACAAAATTTCTCCAAAAGCGGTTTTAACAGAGGATAATCTTTCATACAGTCAATGCATTGGCATGTTTTTTGTTCGTCCAAAATTGTATTCAAGCTCATGACGAATATGTTTACACCAAATTAGAAACTAGGCTATGATTTATTGGGTTTGAAAAAGGTGCTTTTTCAATTTTATTTTCATAAAATGCGGGAAAGTATTTTCTATAAGACTTATAATTTCATTCAAAAAGAGATTCGGCAACTATGCTGCAATTCGACGATAGAATTTTTGGGATCTAAGTATTTTAAAGTAAATAAAATCAAACATTAATGCTTTTGTTTGCATTATTTTATTTTTGCGAACGTCATTTGTGTGATTATGTCTGCCAAAATTAATAACTACTGACTGAAATTTTATGTAGGCATTATTTTTATTCAAATTACTTTCTTCAACAAAAAAAATCATCATCTTTAAATTAATAAGGCTACATATCTAAAATTTTAAGTATAACATGAGGGAAGAATTGCATCTCATTAATACTTCAATATATTGAATACATCAATATATTGAAATACAAGTCAATTTCACTGTATATTGATGTCTAAGGACTATAAACTATTGCGAAATTTTCAAAAAGTCAATTGTTACTAATATTATTAAAATTATAACTTTTTTTAATATTATGTTCGCTACATTTGTGAACATACTGTCCCAAAAGCATGTTGTCAAGTGAAAGCGGGCAGTTTGCGTAACTGCTAATACAATTTAAAATCAAGTATAAAATGTATTAAAGTTGGTGTATTAAACAAGACTAAAGTGGAAAAAGCGAGCGAAGCCATCTGAAAAAAAAAACTGTTTAAGCATTAGTCCGAGGGCTGTTGAGCGATAGTGAGTCGGGGTTGAAGCAACACCTCCTAGAAGAAAGAAGGCCTCAGCATGGATCAATTTATAGTTTGTCTAAAGTAAGAACTCTCCTTGCCATTCGTCTGAACCCGTGGCAGTGACTATGGCAACGAGGTATAACTATTTCAAATAGGGGTGTAGGGTCATTGTTTAGGAGAGGTTTTGGCTCAGGTCGGCGTGAGAAAGGGAGTCTTTTTCTTCGGTTCTAGGAAAAAAAGGTACGGAAAAAAAGATCCCGGAAAAAAAGGTACGGAAAAAAAGGTCCCGGAAAAAAAGGTACCTGGAAAAAAAGGTCCCCAGAAAAAAAGGTCCCGGTAAAAAAGGTACCTGTGTAGGGAAAATTCTGTAGGGGAAAATATTTGAAATGAGAAGATTAGATTGCAGAGCTTTTTGCTGTACCGTGCATGTTTTTTCTTTTTTCGTGTCGCGCGTTTTCAACTAATTAAAAAGGACCAATACTTTCACCTCCAATCACGAATAAACATCCAACACATAAATCCTCCCAACTTCCCCGATTGGCTACTTTAAGCCTCACATTAGCAACTTCTTCACAAAATATAATTTAAAATAGAAAATAACACATTTTTCGCTTAAAAAAATTTTAAAAAAAAGTAAAATATTATTGAAAAATTTAAATTGTATCTTCCTGCTTTAAAAAATAATCAAAGAAGAATAAATAAGTGAAATAAAATTTAAAAAAAAGCGTAATACAACCAGCCTATAAGTGCGCCCCCTTACCCTTCTCGTTACCTCAATGATCTAATCTGAATTATTACAGATAAAAAGAATATTCATTGAAACAGCGAGAAGCATTCATGTTGCCCAGAAAGCGAGAGGGGAAATATCCCTACAGATTTTCCCTATGGAGGTACCTTTTTTACCGGGACCTTTTTTTCCGGGACCTTTTTTTCCAGGGACCCTTTTTTCCGTACCTTTTTTTCCAGGGACCTTTTTTACCGGTACCTTTTTTTCCGGTACCTTTTTCTCCGTCTACATTTTTCTTCGGTTTACTGGGTTAGCCCTAGATAAAATACGAAAGATGTCATTACGTTTGGACTACTAAGAGATCGAATTTCTTGTTTCTGCTGACCCGAGCTGAGGCCTTCTCTTTTCAAGGAGGTATTGGTTGGACCCTCTTAGAGTTAAAAAACGAAGTTTAAAAAAAAAATTATAAAAAAAACTCCGTTACTTCATCAATAACAATACAAAAAAAAAATTGATCATGATTTACTTAAATACAAAATCAAACCTTTCAGAAGATGTGTTCAGATTTAAGACACGTACTGTGTAACTTATGCTAGCATTTGTACATGCTGTCAAAATCTATTGAAAAGTACAGAAGTTATCGCATATGCTAGTCTGAAAAATGTTGTTTAAGGAAAACGCCATTTATAATTTGCAAAAGCTCATTATAACTATTTGCGTGTCAATGCAACAAGCCCTGTTTATATTTCATTCATTTACTAATTTTCATACTTTTTTATGCCGTCTTTATACCTTTTTCTTCATAATGCGCTCATTATGAAGAAAAAAGTATAAAGACGGCATCAGCATGGCTGCATATTAAACATTAGTCATAGAAATATCAAATTAAAAATGAACAGCAGAATGTTTTGAAATTTTCAAATTAATTTAGATTTATTTTCTTATTCCAAATTGTTACATATTTTAAATTTTAGCAAAAAGATTAAACAATTTTAGCAATAGTATGAAAGATTATATTTATTACATTCCTGGGTAAGTTAATTTATAACGTTTTGTTCTCAATAATTTTAATGATAAATTCCATCCTAAAGAGAAAAAGAAATGGCATTACATAGTCAAAAATTCATTTAAGAATATTTCCAGCATGGTTATATTTAATATGTGACCTTTGAAAACATACAAATGTGTTTATAATTGATAGAAGAAATTCTTTAAATAGTTATAGAAAAAAAGAACAGAACAAATGTAGTTTTGATTTTAGATACCTTTTAATTTAACTCTTTGCATTCCTAATACGTTAAATTACAGTTTGAACTATTATGAGTACTAACTCATTTAAAATACAAAATACAGCATTTTTTATTTTTTTATAATTTTTAAATTCTTAAAATAAGGTGGCTGCTTATAAAATCCTATATAATTTAATTGTTAAAATAATGTATTTCATTCAATGAGAATTTAAAAATATTTCTTTCATAAAATTTAACTGTTGCCACAATTTAAATAAGATAGTTGTACCTGCAGCTGCCTAACATTTGGATTAAACAAATAAATTTTTACCACTTTATTCAGTTAAATATTTTATAAATATTACCATCTATTATATTCGGTACTCGCTAAATCTGTAGTTAGGCATTATTTTCGTGTGGAAATCTGACAACTATCCAACATCTGAAAGATATTTTTATAAAAATCAATCAACCAAAAAATTTACCAATCTACCAATATTTCGGTTAGTTGGGGGCAGTTATTGGGTTGACAACCAAGTTTCCACTTTATTTTTTAAATGTTTTATTTTCGACATAATGTTTCAGATCCCAAAAACATTAAGTGAAGAGTGAAATGTTAAAATCTAAAAAATAAATACTCCCCTCAGAGAAACAATGCTTGTCTACCAATGAGGTGGCTCACCCAAGCTCTAATCTCAACAATAAAGTATCGATTCGAATTCTGCGGCCGGCTCACTCCGACCACATTGCTGACGTTAAATATCCACAGTGACAGACTAATCACAGGTTAATCTTTTTGCCACTGAGCTAACCGAGGGAGGTTTTCGTGGGGTCCTCTTCATTTAAAGCAAAATGCTCCATTAAAAAGGCAGTCCAGAAGTCTAGCTTGCCCCAATGCGTGATCCAGGAGTTTCTTTGTCTTCTGGTTCGAGTTCAAAGCAAGCTACGGAGGTGAACAAAAAATGTGTCTACCAGTCAAGGCCGTTTATAAAATAAAATAAAATGTTTTAGATCATTTGAAAGTGGATGTTTTGCTCTACCGAAATGTTTTTATTTAATTTTTTATTCGTTCGAGTTGATATTCAGGTCATTAAAATGGAATATCAAGTTGAGAAAAATTAGCATTTTCGACACTTCTTTCTTTTTGCTTTTAATCGAGGTTCTAAGACTGCAAAAGCTGCTTATGATATTTGTGCTGAGTATGGAGAGGGTTCCATAGCTGAAGAGCAGCTCGTGAATGATATGCCAAGTTTAAAAATAAAAAATATTGATCTCAAAGACACACGTTGTCTCAGCCATCCACTTGTATCAGGGTTCAATGACAATGATAAAAGGCATGCATTAATGAACGACGATAATTCGATGTTTTTGTGAATGGAGGAATGAGTAAATCGGCTTAATAGAGATGAATTTGAGAGATGATGATTTTTAATGAATGAGTCATTCAGTTCCTAAATTATATAAAAAAAATCTTTTATGGTCCTAGATCATTTGTGGTAGTGCAGTCAGGATGATCACGATGAAAAATGTAAAGGTTCCAATTCCCAAGTTCCTAAATGAAGTAGCTGATTTACATGCAAATACCGACCGGCCTGTGTAGGGGTTAGGGAACTGCCCTTGCATCAGAAAGGTTCTTGGTTCGAATCCCGGGCAAGGCATGGATGTTCTTTCCTTCTCTGCACTATCTGTCCTTACTGTGGGAACAACGTTGGCCCACATTATATGGTGCCCCTGAAAGAGTGGCCAACAAATCTGCCCTTCAGATGCCTGTATGACCTAGGTCATTATCCAGGTGGGCATTGAGGAAAAAAGTTTCCATGCAAATTGGACAGCAAATTAAACTGAAATTTACTAAATTTCTAAGAGAAAATTTTTGTTTTAAAATTTGTCGTGTAATATCACCTACTAAACGGAAAAAGAGAGTTACATTTTCTGTATTTTTCAGCTATACTGGATTTTGTCCAGATCTACCTAATCACTTTGGAGAAAGCTACGGCAAGGCTACGCATCAGATCATCAGACAACGACCGAGAGATCTTTTGAGAGAAAGGTTGTCTGATGTGCGGTACGGGGAACGAAAGCGGGGAACGTACTATAACGCATACCAGGGTGATCACTGGCACAACAGCAAGTACGTCGACTGCTGCAAGAAGTCCTGCTGCGATTCCTGCTGCCGAAAATGTCGAAGACGTGATGAATGCATTTACAAACTTCCAAAATACTCGAACAACAAGGGTTTCGGAAAAGGAATGGCTGGACGACAGAATTTTGTCTGTCCAACTTATGTCTACGTTGAAGGATATGCAGGTAGGTCTTTCAATACTGAATGCTATATTATAAACTTGTATGATGCATACAAATTTGCATTGTTTTTACAAGAGTATCCATGCAAGATGCTGATTTCTGTATAAATGATTAGGAAATGGTCAAAGAATCACTCAAACAGACTAAATTCGCCAAGGTGTGCTATGAATTTTTGATAAAGCTATTTACAATAAGCTTTCACAACCCTGAGCTTATTGCTAACTGCCGGAAATAAATCAAGCTAATTGAGCAATAAATGAAATGAAATTATTATGTGTATGGATGGTGTTTTCCACACTAGGGAACGTTGCAAGTTCCATACCGCCCTTTACTTCCGGGTTACTGTTTCCGGTGTATTTTAAAGTCATTGGACTCACAACGTGATCATTGTGTTTTCAGATTCTTGCAATCGTTGTATTTGATTGCTTATTACTTGTGTTTACAAAGCTAACAATACTTGTGTTTACAATGCTGAAGGTGCTAACACTAACGTAAGATGGTGCACAGCTTGCAACAAGAATAAACAGTAACCAAACCAGGATTGCTAAAAAAGCGAGTGATTCAAAACCTAGTTACCATGTCACTTTTTTTAACAATATATCTATAAATAACTAAAGCAAATTTTCACTTCAAACTCACCAGAATCACTTAATAACATTAATATCTTATGAAATATGGCAGATTTGAGCTCAAAAATTATCTAATTTATTTCTTTTATTGACAACAAAATGATCCGTTTGAAAATATCGCCTCGCAAAATAAGCTGTAGTAAGCAGTTGCAAACTTTATAACCGGAACTAGAGCAGGTATTGAGCTTGTGATTGTTATCGTTTACATTTATATTGAAAACGCCATCCATAGGCTAAGTGAAATGAAGCATCAGGCCGATTAGAAAATACTGAGGACTTTTACTGTTAGCCTGGCACACTGCAAAGTGTTGGCAGCTGCTTACCGAGCGCCGACCGATCGAACTACTATTTAATTAGCCTGCGACACATTCAACTGCACTTTAATTTCAACTTATTTACTTTCTGAATACTATTTTTGAAAGTGCAATCAAACAAAATAAATCTCTTCGATTTATTTATTTTAATTAAGTAATTAATTTTTAAATTTTTTAATTTATTTATTAAATTTCCCTGTATTGCTTTCTCTAAATCTCATGGAGATGTGCTTATGTCATAAAATGTTTTTAAATTCAATACACATGCACTAGCTAATCTAGATAAGAACAAAAGAAAGAAGAATAAAAATAATCTGCAGCTCATGAATCACATAAAAAGTGTTACGCAATCACTGCCTTAGAGTATATTTTTAGCATCATTGTTAATAGATGTACAACAGATTCGAAACTAAATATTTAAGCAAAATAAAAAGAAACGTTTCCTGACTACAACAATTCATTTTTGGCACCGAGAAGAGCAAAGAGATTAATTTTTACTATTTTGTTTGCAAATAAGATATCAACAAAAAGAAACGCATAAAAAATATCTACAAAATTCAATTCAGATCATTTATAGTTTGTCTATGCTAAGAACTCCTCCCGCCATAAAGTCTGAGGCCGTTTGGTGCTATGGAAACAAAAATGGCATATTTCAGGGAGGGTAGCTTCACTCTAAGACTAACACAATAGACCGAAGAAAGAGATAGCCTTTCTTTCACCGAAACCACTCCAAAACAGTGACCCCGCACCCCTACTCGAAATAGTCATACCTCGTTACCATAGTCATCACTACAGGTCCAGATGAATGTCTGAGGCAGTTCTTATTTTAGACAAACTATAGGCATTCCTTGTAGGTTTGAAACTAATTCACCTTCAGCTCGGAACCGCCTCCAAGCTCCAAACAAACTGGTTAATAAAGGATTTTAATCCTTCCTTTGTTGTTCTCAATCTCAATAGTGATTTGAAAATCAAGTTGAAAATATACAATAGTTTTTGAATTATATAAAGGCAGTCGTTACAGGAGCTAGTATATATTTTTTTCTACCATTTATAAATAGTGGTGGTGAACTGACAAATAAATCTAGTAGACACTCCTTATTCCAGTTAAGTATCAAAAAATCTTAAGTAGCCGCAAATGGGAAATATTGTTCCCATAGTTTAGTTACCGGTGCGATTCTAAGTTCGGATCCCGTAATGTTAATTTTACACTATGCGTCTTTCGCAATATCTCAAGAACTATTGAAATGAATTAAAAAAATTTTGCACGCAATTATAAAATTCGTTTATCCAAAGATAATTCCATGCAAAAAAAAAATTCAGTAAATTTTTTTTTAAATGGCGAGCAATTGGGGCTTGTCCCATTGGCCACAGAAATGCCAGAACTGCTACTCTCTTCTCGTTACCCAGTGGGCACCTGTGGCGAAGCCACGGCGGGGGAGCAGCGTCGCCCACGTCACACAACCACAAACCCGTTTACAGGGCGGGGCACATTCACACAAAGAAGAAAGGACATAGAACACACAGAGAGTAAAAAACATCCATGCCCTGAGCAGGATTCGAACCTCGGCCAATGGCTCCGGAGTGAGAACCGNAGTTTCAATAAATCTAGGTAGCCGCAAATGGGAAATATTGTTCCCATAGTTTAGTCACCGGTGCGATTCTAAGTTCAGATCCCGTAATGTTAATTTTACACTATGCGTCTTTCGCAATATCTCAAGAACTATTGAAATGAATTAAAAAAAATTCGCACGCAATTATAAAATTCGTTTATCCAAAGATAATTCCATGCAAAAAAATAAACTTCAGTAAATTTTTTTTTTAAATGGCTGGCACTTGGGGTTTGTCCCATTGGCCACAGACGTGCCAGAACTGCTACTCTCTTCTCGTTACCCAGTGGGCACCTGTGGCGAAGCCACGGCGGTGGAGCAGCGTCGCCCTCGTCACACAACCACAAACCCGTTTACAGGGCGGGTCACATTCACACAAAGAAGAAAGGACATAGAACATAGAGAGAGAAAGAAACATCCATGCCCTGAGCAGGATTCGAACCCGCGGCCAATGACTCCGCAGTCAAACACGCTAACTACTCGGCCACCTGGTCAGCATTTCGGTAAATATTGAATATTTTATTTAATAATAGTAAAAAAAATTTCAATAGACAATTTAAAATGATCTGAAATATACAATTTTTCAGATCATTTTAAAGTATGCAATTTTACATGGTAAAATACTAAATTTTAACGAAATTGGTTGAATAGTTCCTGAGAAAACAAATTTTAAATGTTCGACTTTTTTAAAATTCATTAATCAAAAGTTAAGATCATTAGATCATAAGTTATTCAAAGTAGTCCATTTTTTTGCACTATACTTATTTAGCTTCATGTTGAATGTCGTTATTTTAGTGACGTCATTTAGTTATTGCATTTTTCCCCTATCTCTATCAGGTCGAGAATGCGATGAAGAGGAGATGTACTGTCCACCCTCACCTCGAAAATGCTGTATTCCACCTAAAAAGTCCCGACCTTGCTGCAACTCATGTTGCGATCGGAAAGTCATGCATCACAAACAATATGGATCCATGCAAGATAAACAAAGTTATACACCAGGTAATAATATGTTCTATTAGTTTCGTGTTTTAATAAGATTAAAAACATCTGGATGATGGCCTAGTACAACATTTAGAAGATGAACTTGACAGCAATATGGGAATCATGCTGGTTGATTTGTGTACATTTCCTAACCCTTACTGATCATAGTGCTAAAATAAAGTGTCCTTAGAATCGTGACAGATGAAGGGAGATCCATATTTGGAATCCAATTATAGTCTAGTTTACCATTGTAAGTGCTGATGGATACCGAAGGTGGGATTTATTCTGTTTTGTAACACAAATGGGAATTATTTTAACTCAAAACTTCCTCCGCTAAGTTAGGCTCAACTAGGCGGAAACTGGAAGAATGCTTAAATACCCCTCCCTCTTGTGTCTGTAATGTGTATCCTCCGCATTGTTTAAATAATTCTTACTTCTGCCCTCCTTGCTGACATTGAGCAATTTTGATATTTCCTAGTTGGTTTTCTTTTTGTTGCGCTGCGCTATTGTCTGTCTAACAAAAGAACTCCTACCACAGACTCTGGGGTTGTTTACTGCTATGGAGACATGTTAAAGTACATTTTAAAGAGAAGAGTTTTCAATACTTCTCTGGCCAACCCGAATCGACGTTTATTTTAAATGTTTACCTCTTACACCAAAAAAAAAATTTTTTACTATCGTAACCATAGTTACGTAACCATAGTTACCGACAATGCTCCAGACCACTAATGAAGGGAGTTTTTTAGTTAGACAGACAGTACGGTTTCTTCTACTCGGTTGAGAGCGTTGTTCGACACGATTGTTATCTGTTTCACGACGTGTATTTTCAAATTCGTAAAATCGAAATAGAATGTGTCGAATAATCAGTACAGAATAAGGACGTTTCATGGAGAATTAAGCTAGGCTGAATCATATAATCGCGAAAGACAGTACCTAAGTTTAAAATGCGGTGGTTTAAATGGGTTAAACTAATTCGTTAATTACACTCAAAATATTGATTTTTTGGGAGGGTGATGTAATGAGCACGTGATGTTCTCTCTTCTCATTAGCTAAAGGCCAACTAAACCAATTTTAAACAATCGGTTAGTTGATCCTGCTACGACGTAACATAATCAGTTCAACCTCTTCCCTGCCCGTTAACATATTATCAGCAAAATTTGTGGCAAATACACTACTGGCCATTAAAATTGCTACACCAGGAAAGAATGCAAATAACAGAATGATATTTATTGGGCGCATACATTAAACACTCTATAACAAAAAAATCGAAGCACCAAGAAGGAAATGTCCGATTGAAACGAAAATTGGTGGATAGGAAGACAATATACAGAATAGTAAATTATTAAAATTTCAGAACAATTGAATAATTTATTGCAGAGTTACAGTAACAAGTTCAATAAGGTGTTGACCCTCTAGCCTGGATACAAGCTGCCACATGGCGTGGCATAGACCGATAAAGCTCCCGGATGGTCTCTTGCGGTATTTCCTGCCAAATTCGATCCAATTGTCGAACGAGGTCATCAACATTCCGTGCCAGATGCAATCGCCTTCCCATCATATCCCAGACATGCTCGATGGGAGAGAGATCTGGTGATCTGGCAGGCCAAGGAAGAGTTTGACAAGCTTGCAGACAGTTCATAGCAACACGTGCCGTATGTGGTCTGGCATTGTCCTGCTGAAAAACCAGCCCAGGGCGCTGCAAAAGGAACGGTAGCAAAACAGGTCTTAGGATGTCGTCGACGTACCGCTGTGCAGTAAGTGTACCTCTAATGACGACCAAAGGGGTCCGGCTGTCAAAGGAAATGGCACCCCAGACCATAATGCCTTGTTGAGGGCCGGTGTGGAGTGCAGTAGTGCAGGCAGGATCCGCCCTTTGCGCTGTACGTCTCCAAACACGTCTTCGATGATCGTCAGGACACAGTTGGAAGCAGGATTCGTCGCTAAAGACTATACGTCCCCAGTCGGCATCATTCCAGTCATATCTGTTCGAAACATTGATGCATACGAAATTTCAAAGCAATCGGGTGATTACTTCTTGGTGCGCCGATTTTTTAGTTATAGAAAGTAGTTGGAAGAACAAGTGATTAAATTTTCAAGCTATTTGGACGTATAGATCCTGAGGAATCAGTACTCAGAGCAGCCTCCCCAGGCAGCAATAAGAGCAGTTATTCTCCTGGGCATCGAGTCGAACAGAGATTGGATAGCATGGACGGGTACAGCATTCATGCAGCTTCAGCATTATGACCCAATTCATCGATCGTAGTGACTGGCAAGTGGTGGCGTGCCAGTCGTTCGGCAAGAATTGATCGGACGTTTTCAATTAGTAAGAGATCAGGAGATCGTGCTAGCCAGGGCAACAGGCGAACATGTTCTACGTCAAGAAAGGTCGGGACAGTGCGGGCAGCATGCGGTCTGCATTGTCCTGCTGAAACGTAGCGTTACGGGGGCCTCGAAAATAAGGCTAAGCAACTGGCCTAACACATCAGAAATGTAACGGCTGCTGCTCAAAGTGCCGGCAATGCGAACAAGAGGCAATCGCCACGTGTAGCATCGCAGGGTAGCCGAAGCCATGGTCGCATTGCTACTGCAAACGTCGTTGAACTGTTCGTGCAGACACACTTGCAAATGACTCGATTTATTAACTCAAGGTTCGTGACGTAGCCGTACGATCAAATTAAGGTCATGTTTATAAGATGTCTGTCTTCTCGGCTGCTACTGATGGGGTGGGGGTGCTGAGATCTTGCACGGCGTTCCATATGACCGTCATGAACTCATCGATTCCATATTCCGTTAACAGTCATGGGATCTCGACCAACGCCAGCAGCAATACTTCAGTATGATAAACCGCAATCACGGTAGGCCACAATTCGACCTCAATCAAACGCAGACTCGTGCTGGTAGGCATTTCTCCTTTTTACACGAGGCGTAACAAAAAAAAATTTTACCCAAGAACAACGCTCAAATTCAATTTCTGCATGAGGAACTTACTGTCAAATCTCTTCTTTTATACACATTGTAGGAGTCGCTACCACCGCCTGCTTTGTATGAGTGCGCTGATAAGCTAATCATTTGCATGCCACAACATGCTTTATCCGTCCTGCTTATTTCACGTTCGTGGTGTGTCACCTTCCTGGTGTAGCAATTTTAATGGCCAGTAGTGTATTTACGTAGAAACGATACATTAAGAGTCTCCGGTCTATCACTAGTAGTCTGTTGCTCTCCTCTTATAGGCTGGTGATTTTAATTTAATCAAATTATCCTTATTTTTTCTCCCTTAACAATTGTCGAAAATCGCATTCAATTAGGTTCAGGTGTAGTCGTTTCATCATAATTTAATAATTTGGTGACCACCTTGACAAATTGATCATCAATCAGTTTTGACAATGATAAAATCTAAAAATTAAGGTAATTTATATAAGTACCGAATCAAATACACACGAACAACTAGTCCATTAGGGAGACGCCCAATTCGGTAAACGATGTTATCGCCCCTTGCCATTCTTATAATCCTTATTACCTCTCCTAACTGTTTTGATCACTAATTTTAAACAGGTTCTCCATTTGGAAATTGCATGTTGTATTGACCTTTCGATAAGGAATTTTGAAAGCATTTTCATAATAATTTTTTCACAGAAATAACCCAAAACGTATCACAATAAAAGTACAGAATACTAAACAAAAACAATTATTGATATACGTGGGGATTCAGTACAACCTTATGAACTTGGAGAGGAGGTAGGGTAAATTATAAGGTTTGAGAATCGCAAAGCAACTCATAGGAAGAAATGTCTTCGTACGCACAAGGCGTACTTCCCTTTCATAAACTGGTTGCTCGTGCGTATTTAAAACGCTACTTTTATTTTTCAAATTATTTTTTGTTTTCTGGCAATGGTAGCCAAAAACTGCTCAGATCTAGCTGTTTTTTGGCAGGTTCGACGACTAACTTGTTGAGCATATCAATAATGATGACCAAAATAAATAAATTACGATTAAACACCTATTTCCGGCCTAATTTTAATGCAACTTGCGACAATTTCAGCAAACATAATTTAGAGAAGTACGCACGAACATATAGCTCATGATAGGGCGTTGAGTTACCCTGCAATTTTCTTAAGTGCTCTATCTCTCCTCTGAATTTGACACTGCTAAACGCTGTTCAAATTTATCCGTTGACGTAAAATACCCTCAGTGGAAGACGGATCATGGGTTACAATGTTCTTGTTATCGGGCAAACCATGGGTGGTTTTCCTCTCAGTGTCACGAAAATGCTGGTTAGTTCTATCAAAAAAAGCCCTCCAAGAAGGCAGTTTATCCCAATCCTTAATCCAGGAGTTCCCTTGTCTTCTGGGTTGGGTTTAAAATTACAAGGATACGGAGTTTAATATAGATAGTCGTAAGTTCAGAATTGGGTCGGCTGTTCAAAGCATCATAAAATAAAATCGTCCAGTATAAACTTTATCGCATCACGATTTCGTTCTTTCAAAATTAATTTTTAAATTTTTTTTTTAACTTTATTTCCAGGTATAAAAGTTATGTTTGATGCACCCTGTTTGGAAAAACTTTTCAAAAGACAACATGAAAAACCAAAAAGCGGTCGCTGTTACTGCTGTTGCTGAATGTGATAAATGACTTCCAAGCAGAAATACTCACAGAAAGCTCGAGCAATAGAAATTTTGTAACTCTAATCATATTATTTTAAGCTATCAATTTTAGTAAAGCATTAAATTGAAATAAGGAGACAGTAAATAATTGGCCTGAAATTTGAACTAAACTGTGTACGTTAAAAAGCAAGTGAAACATGAATAAAAATTATCTACACTTAATACAAGTTTGTTAACTTCAAGCTGTACAGACATATCTATTCTAACGTTTAGTGTTCCAGTTCACGATATAATTATTATTTCTAAATTAATAGTTAGGAGTATGCCATTACATTGTATTACTTTTTAAATTATGATTATTATAATTAGTTATTTAATGAGATAGTATGCAAATTTTCTGAATAGCACTAATGCCTAATCATTCAATATATCGTTATTTATTTGTGTAACCACTATTTTTGCTTAATTTTATTTAATTATGCACTACCTATACATATAAACCAGGGTTGGCAAGTTTTTGACACATGACGGTTTTTACCGTCATGTCAAAAACCCCTCTGTCAAAAACCCATAGTTTTGGTAAAACTGTATTTTTAGTTGAGTTTAACTGCTAATTCAAAATTAATTCATTTTTGGGCAATAAAATTAGAAAAAAAGTTGTTAAGAGATATTTAAAAACAGATTCTTGCATTTTGTCAACATGATTATATCAAAACATACTATTTGAAGTAAAATATTAGGATACGAAACAAAATTTTCAACATTTCCAAGCATGATTTTGTTTGGCATATTACATTACTGAAGAATGTCAAGTGCAGCTCAGA